TGCTGTTTATACTGCGTGCAAGCGTGAGTATACAGTAATGCTGCTGCCCTCATTACATCGTCGTCTTCAGTTGCGATTAGCGATTCTCAACAGCGCTGCCTCTCAAAAATGTTTGCGTGCATAAATGAACTCGTTACATTATGAATCTGCGATGCTGTTTACAAGCAAAAAATGCATTGAGCATAAAGCGACTAAATATAATTGCTGTGAAACAAATTACAGAAGTTGGGTCATTTAAAAATAATGCTGCATCGCTAAAACGAGCAAAGAGAACCCATAAAACATGCATATATCAATTACCTTGCATACATATTTACGTGAGTGTGTGTATAATATGCAAAATCTAAGTGTGTGATTGCCACACGATCGTCTGGCGTCTACGTACATGGGGCGCATGCGCTCTCTTTCCTTGGACCGCTGAAGCCCTCGCATTTGGCAGCTCTGCTCTCCCGTCCACATGCTGTTGCGAACTTTCTCTCAGCCTCGGTCGATTTAACCCCCCGGCGCGACACTTGCCGCCCCCACCGCTGCCTGCCATATGCCAGGAATTGAACCCGGAAGGAAGCACGTGGAGGGGAGAGGCTCGCGTCAAATGCGTTGTCGACTGAGGAGTGTCTTGCGCTGCGGGTGGTTGTTCGCACGCCGTGGAAATAGCTCCTCCGTTCGGAGTGTTTAGATTATTGTTTGGCTGCTGTCAATTTCCACACGGTAAGCCACTTAGTTGAGCTATCATTTGTGGCCAGGTCGCTTCTGAAATAGAAGCTAATAGCTCCATGGGCTTTAACTGGTAAAATAAAAAATTGTTCAGTTTCATTTTTTTAGTAATTGTCTTACCTTTTCTATACTTTGCACTCCTATCGTGTTTTTGTTTTGTTTGCTGTTGTAACCTTCTGACCTGCCCCCCCCGCTACTGGACATCTGTGAAAACGACCTTTATAGCTCATCGGATTCCTCCTCCAGTCTGAATAAAGATTCTGATTCGGGTCTTTCGTGAGTGGTAGCAGCGACGCCCTCGGCGCGGCGCAGGCGGCGGAGCAGAGATCGTCATTTTTTACGAACGGCGTCGGGGAAATCGACTGTGCGGGACGACGGTGCTCGGTGTCTCCGCAGTGGGGAAGGGATTTTAGCTGCAAGCGGAGCGAGCTGCCATGTCAATCAACGGCCGTGACACCGGCGCCTTGTACAGCTTCTAACAGGCTGTTGAGGCAAGTGCTGTTAGCAAGCGCCTAATTAAAGCCAGTACAGCACACGAGGGGGGTGGGGAGGGAGGTGTGGCCAGCACAACGCCCCTCCGTCTTTATCTCCCCAGTGCTGATGCTTACCGCACCAGGTACTCGTTTAAGGCTGAGTCGACCTGGGGGGGGTGGGGGCCCAGGATCGTTTCAGACATTTGTCATTGGTGTTGGCTGTGAGCTGACATTGAACTGGGTCACTGGGTTCTGATTCTCAGTGCACTCACCACTACATTAATGCTCATTTATACACACACATAGCATGGGAATGATATACACGTGATTACACACTTACATATTCTGTATTTACACGTACAAACAAACCCTTGGTCAATCCATTGCTTCGTGTCAGAGGTCCAATAAGATCTGGTGCTTTCTGGGTGATAAGGTTATATGAGCAATACAATTTAAAATTCTATAATCTCCAAATGTGTTTCTGTCTGCATATCATTGCTCCATATATATATATATACAGGTGCGCATAAAAATATGCATGTGCTGTATACATGCATACGTGCATGCATGCATTTTCAATATATGTATGGCAATTTCTCCATCCGGTGAATGCGTATCCATGTCATTGTATGATTGCCGTCTTATCAGACTTATGCAAATGTAATACGCACGCAAAATATTATTTGAAATGTTACGCTTACATTTTCCTGAATCGGGGTGTTTAGGCAGGCCAGGAAAGAAGCCTCGATGGATTTGCCTTTGTTAAAAAAAAAAAACTGGCTGTGGTAAACGATAACATCTATTTTTTAATCGAGCAAATCAAAATCTACTGCTGTGTTGCGCACCCACATTGGCCATCATGTTAATTGCATCCATTGCGTGGATGTATACGTGCGTGCGTCCGCGCGTGTATACACGAGTGCGTGTGAAAGGGGAGCGGTAGTGTCGTGGTTAGCACACGGCGCTAAGAACCCAACAACCGTCTGATTCCCGCTCACGACCAAAAAAGTGACGAATATTTTTTTTACATCCATGCCCATCGTCCACTGGGGAATTAGTCTCCACAAGTTCACAATCCCGTTAGGCCCCCGGAATGTAGTGCAGGCAGAGTTTTTGGAGGGCACGGAGTGCCCGCCCCTACCACCTCGCTTCCCGAGACCATAATCGTAAGCCTCCCATCTTTTTTCTGCATCTCGAGGCAAGCTGCAACTAGTTTTAGATATCCAGATAAAAGTTAAAAATGTAATATTATTTTCACACTTCGAGCGTCGGGCATGCAAGAAACTGCGTACAACCTTTCTTTCTTCTTCATCATCATCGCCCTGTGTGTGTGTGTCTGTTCTGAAGTCCAGTAAGGCAGTCTACTTGGCAAGCGTATGCTTCCCACTGGAAGAAACGTCGAGGATGGTACCGCGTGACGGGTGTGAACCTGGCGCATTGCAGCGTTTGCGCATATTGTGCAATTCTTGTTGGAGGCGTTCGATGAGAGACTTTCGTTGACGGCCCTGAGGTTCAGAGTGGCGGCTATCTCGGCCTTCCCCCACGAGGAAGTCGAGTGGCACGCAGTGGGGTCCTCAGAGTCCTGTCAAGAATTGTCAGTACCATGAGGCAGGAGAGGCCACCAATAAGGTCCGGGAGGGGGGGGGTAGCTCCCTTTTTCCGCCTGGTGCTGAACGCTCCATTGTAGTTCTCCCTTTTGTACCCTGGGTGCGACATGCTCCCGAGAGGCTGTCAACTCTCCAAACGCTGTCTCGGTTGGCGATCACCTCATCGCGAAGGAGGCTTTGGCAAACTACGAGCCCTTGTGGTGGATCCTCCATTTTCCGTCATATCTAACGGGAAGGTCAGTGTCGCGGACTTTCCTCCCCCCCTTGTTTGTCTTGAAGGTCCTTTCCGAGTTCCGCATCAACCGGGAGATTAAAGCGTTGTAGGAGTTTTTGCCCCACCACCTTTCTGCTCCCCGGCAGAAGCAAGGCTTCATTGGCTCGACCCGGTTCGTTGGTCGTTGATCTTCTGTCTCTTCTCTGTCTGCCAACGTGGAGGAAGGCGGAGCAGCTGTTTGTGTTGTAGAGAGAAATAAAATGGGGGGTGGGAGGTGGAGGCGGCGGCTTCCAAACAGGGGGTGGCCACATGGCGTGTTGCAATGCATCCAAGAGGCGTGTACGAGATCAAGGGGCGCGGCAGAGTCGAGTGGCGTAATCCGTATTCCACCAGGGCCACGTCGTCAGGTGTCCTGGGCTAGCAAAGGATGTCGTGCCGCTGGCATGAATCTGCAAGGCCGCGGTGTGGAGCTCCCCCCCCCCTCCTCCACCTCACATGTTCACCAAAACACTGCAGGCCTAATTTGTGCGGGTGGGGGGGGGCTCAAAATGGCCGCTTGCAGGAACGCGGTGCTCTCGACCGCGGTGACCCAGTAAGAGCTTCCTGCAGGTCGAAGATCCTTTTTTCGCCTCTGGCTTAGCTCTGTCTTTAATTCACTTGTGTACAGTCTGACCGTGTCGGTGGCCATTGTATGAATAAACAGGGTTTTAGCAGCTGCGTTAAACCCAGTTTTCATGGTTGGCCACTCGGCACACTCCACATTCGTCCACATTCCCCGCAAAAAGGGTTCCCACCTTCTCTAATGCCTGGGTGGTGTGTATCTGGAGTGTGTGCCGGTAAGGTGAAGTGCACAGTTGTGCTTAGCTGGATCGTTTTGTTGAGTTGCCATTGTTATTGTCTGATTGGTCTGTATCTCATGGTGACGAGATGTTAACTACCTCGCCTGGTATACAGGAGGGTGTGAGTTCAATCCCGACCCTGACGCCTGTATATTTGGAATTTGCATGTTCTCCCCGTGGCCACGTAGATATTTTTCCCGGATCCTCCGGTTTTTCCTTCCACATTTAGAAACATGCGTTTAGTGTATTTGGCTGCTGTAAATTTCCACGTGATAAGTCACTTCACTGGCTATCATTTGTGGAAAAGTCGCTTCTGAAAAAGAGCTATATAGCTCCGTGGGTCTTACCTGGTAAAATAAAATAAAATGTAGTTGACCTTGTTAATGCATCTCCCAGATACGGGTTGCCGTCACGTAACCTCCTTAAATCGCTAGGTTATACACGTGCGTTTGGAACCCATCTCGCTCGGTTCGATTGTCAGCCATTGGTTAAGGGAGTCTTCCCCTAGGTTCACTCGGCCTTAACTGTGTGGTTGGAACGCTGTGTAAACGTCAGCACTGGGGGACACAAACGCGGCGGGACGTGTGATGCTGGCCGCACCACGCCGCTACGTGCCAATCTGACACGAGATAGGTGCTCGCTTAAGAGCACTTTCCTCGATCGTGTTTCATGGTTTTGCAGGCGATATTTGTGTGTGTCCGCGCGGGTGTGCTCTTGGAGATGCACGTGCTTGGAATTACATTGCGGGATGGGAACAGGGACGCATGGTTGGAGAAGATACGCAGGTTAAAGATTTTGACCGCACAGAAAAGCAAGTGGGCTCTGACAAAGCATGTCAGGAGAAGGGAGGATTGGAGGTGCTCTAGACCCACGGCGGAGTGGCAGCCAGCAGAGGGACAATGGCCAAGATGAAGCTGTCAACGGCCCGTGACAATTACCTGGGCCTCCCCTAGGTCGACTGGGCCTCAAATGAGTACGTGGTGCGATGTGTAAACAAAGTCGGCCGAGCATAGTGCTGGCCACCCCACTCCCGTTGCGTGCCTTGTCGGCCCTTCACAAAGGTGCTGCTCGCTAACAGCACTTTTACCAACCGTCTGTTAAGGCAATACACGGGCGGGGAGAAATATTTGTGTTCTCTGTGCTGTTGATGCAGAGCGGGCCGTGGCGCTGCACCAGGTGCGAGCCATAGAGCAGAGGCACACGCAGGAGCTGGCAACGCGCGCCGAGGGTGGCCCCTGGGGAACGGGGGGCCCAGACGACCTCATCGTGCTCTACAACCGCGTGCCCAAGACGGGCAGCACCTCGTTCACCAACATCGCGTACGACTTGTGCGCCCGCAACAAGTACCACGTGCTGCACATCAACACGAGCCGCAACAACCCCGTCATGTCGCTGCAGGACCAGGTGGGCGTCTACCGCAAAGCACTCTTGCCAGGCGCGTGACGACGCGTCGATTCCCTCAAGCTCGGGCGATACATCGAACGAACAGTTGTGGGCGTTAGCGATCGATGTTTTTCTGTTGGAGGGTGTCGCATGTTAATGTCGTTCAACGTCGCCCCCCCCCGCCGCAGCCGCTAGATAGAGGCACAACGGTCTGCTGCAGTGTTGCGAAATAGAATTGATTGCGCGAATTGAAACGTGATCATGAACCACGATGATTAAATCGGCAGGGGTGGGGAGTATTGTTACACCCCTAGTGACAGTCCCACACCCCCTAGTGACATGGGTGAATGGTTCCTTCCCTGCCGGGATACGTTAAACCTAGGGTTTTGTGAGCTCGAAAATAAATAGTTTTCATAATCGCGTTAATTAAATTCTTTCATTTATTTGTAATTCACGTATTGTGTCGAGTGTTATCGTAGTAGGTATTTGCATTTCTATTAAAATAAATTGTCGCTTATCAAGATGGTAAACAAAAGAATGTAATTACATTTCTCATGGCATACAGTAAGAAACAGACCAGCTGTCGTAGAAAATATCTAAGTCTTTAATTCTGACAGTGAGGTCTAAAAACAAAAGCACAATATAGAATAATCGTGCTCGCTGCTAAAGTGGCCGCTAATTTCTTGCCACGCAATGCGTTGCTTTTGACTGCTGCACTTTTATTGAGGCTGTTCAAAACATCGGTGGTCATTCGTCAACGACACTGCCTTAATTGTAAAAGTATATAATAGGTAACGTTTCGGGCAACAGCCCTTATTCATGTGCTCCTAATATGTTAATAGAAGGACCATCGCCCAAAACATCGCCTTTTGGATATGTTTTCCGATCAAGGCCGCAGCGTTATCGAAGAACGTGTTGAGTGCGTTTTGTTACTTGTGCTTTGTGCAACGCTGCCAATGCAGTGTCTCCAAATAATTAGTTTACTGGCGATAGGTCACCTCTCCGGGTCGATGTGCGCAAAATTCGTGGTGCGTCGCGCACTGCACATTTAGGCCGGCGACACGAGCGACGCTTCAATTGATGTCTCGCCGCCGTCCCCCGTCAGGATGGGATGACGTGTCATGAGCACGATGCCAATGCGGTAAATCCATCCTTCCCCCCCCCCCCCCCGCTGAATTACGGCTTCTGCTACCGCAGCCCCAAGTCGTCTTAAAAGCAGGTAGCAGCAGCATGTGCTCGCACGGACTTTGTCAATTCAAAGGTTGGCGGTGTAGGGGGGGGGAGTGGAATCCCCAAAATAAATTCTTCAGTTCAGAAACGATGAGTGCCTGGCTCCTGCAAGCTCGTGGCATGGCTTGTTAAGCCATGCATCACGCTGTTAGCTTAAACTCAGCCAGTGTTGATGCCAAATAGTCAATTAAAAACATACCGTTAAACAGTAAAACAAGGATTGAGCACCGCTGTTGTAAGGCGGCCACCTGCTTGCAACGACCATGGAGGCCCTTAATGGGCCACCTCCGGTGTAATTTCGGCTAACCGTGTGTATGGAGACCACAACCCCAGCGACGGCAGCTTGATGGGGAAACTGTCAATGGTCATTACCCAAATGTTCTGCCGTAACTTTAGAAACGTGGACAAGGATTATGGGTTATGTATTTTTTTTTTATCTCGGGCTCTCTTTACCAATTTGTTTAATTCCACCGTGTAGCACTGGTCGTAACGCGCAGGAATTATTTGCTATAATTTGTCAAAGTTAACGGCATGTGACCACACGGGAAGCATCCCCTCGTACCTCGCGAACGCGCTTCAGCGTCGATTGCAGTCGTACGTGCGGTGAGAGCGCACCTGTTGTCAACGTCCGGAGTTCATAGCCAAACCCGACGCAACGTCATCCAAAGACTCTCCAACCTTCCCTTTGGCCGTCTTCCTCGTCCAACGAAACGGATGGTTATGAGCCGAGCTGGATGTGCCGCCTGGTACAAGGGGGAACTCGGCACGCATTGCCGAGCCTCCTTGTTCTCGGGTGGTGCCTCGCCTGGCTGCCTGTCGCACCCGGAGGCCCCTCCCCCCCCACCTCCCCTGTCATGCTCACGACGCCGACGGCCACATCCGCGAACATAAGCTCGTTAAATTGGCGCCGCCGTGCTCGAGCGGGTTTTAATTCGCCAGTTGGCGCCAGGAGAAGGGATTTCTGCGCGGAGGAGGAGAGCGAGGCGATGGACGCGTTGTGCGAGAGAGGATGGCCGAACCTGCGCGCTGCCTCTCTCGTGCGCGGGACCACAGGGACGCGTGCTAGCGGAACCAGAAACTTTAACTGCGCTCCGCTACCGTGTGCAGCATAGTAATTTCAAATAGGATGCAGGGAGGATTGTGCAAAAATGCAGGATACTTCGTGCTGCGTACGTTTCCTTTGCATATGCAATCACGTACGAGACATCGATGCCTCGCTTAGCCTAGTTTGACCGTCAATAATAAACGTGTGTTCTTTGCGAGCGCAGTAGCACGCACAGGGAAGGGTGTGGGCGGCAGCAGCAGCAGCACACACACGCGCACAGCCACCTTTTGTATCCTAAAATGTAATGTTCGTAAACCCATTTTTAACAAGTAGTCACCTTTAGGCCTCAGTGTACCTAGGGGAGGCCCAGCCCGTGTTCAGATGTCAAGTGGCGCTGGCGATGGACACGGCTAGGAGGTGAACCTGTGTCGTTAGCGCAGTGTTCTTGCCGAACCAAAGTAGCACAGCTCAGTTTAACACGTAGGCTTTCACGACCAATATTATTCATAATCAACGTTTTTGGGTTTAGATCGCGTTATTTATAAATGTGTTGTAACCCTCCACCACCCGACACGGCCAATCAGTAAAAATTGTCACGTTGACAAAAGAAAAATAGTTCACTGCTTTAGCCCACCGGTGTGTGTAGAAGCGTGAAACCACAACATTTACAATTTTTTGAGTAGTACGACGTTTCGCTGGTAATTGCATCCAGCATCCAATGCATAATAATACACACGTGCACATGAAGACAAATGTCCCCCATACAGCCTTTACCAGAGCTCTTGAAGCGAGTGCTATAAGCGAGCACTGGTTAAGGCTGGCACGGCACAAAAGTGGGGGTGGTGTAGTCACCACTCCATGCCTGGCCGCTTTTGTTTCTTCAGTGCTGATGTTTTACACACTGTACCATTTGAGTCCGAGTCGACCTAGGGGAGGCCCAGAACCGGTTAGGATACTTGCCACCATTATTGGTCGTGAGCAAGAATCAAACTCGGGTCGCCGGGTTCGTAGAGCAATGCGCTAAACACTGTGCGCTTCGCACACACGTATGCACGCAAGATACACAGATGCACGCACGGATGCACATGCCCACACTGAAAGATATTACTTGCACGCATGCATGAACACGCATGCACAAGCCAACTAGGGAGCTGCACATAAATACAAAGTGTTGCACAATCTGTTTCATATAGCTGGTGACTGCTACCTTTTATTTGTTTAGTACTCTTGACCCGATTGTTTGTTTCTTGTTGTCATTGTTTTCTTTTTAAGGCGAGGTTTGTAAAGAACGTAACGGTGTGGAAGGAATGAAGCCGGGATTTTATCATGGACACTTGGCGTTCGTTGATTTCAGCAAGTGAGTCGGAGTGTCTCCATCCGCTCGCTCGCGCTTCTCTTGAGTGTAACATTGCTGTCATATCCGTGGGGTGTTTTTGCTAGTCTAAAAAAATTATGGGACAATAAGAATAGGTTTTACCATATCCGGCAATAAAGCAGGTTTGTTTTCATGTTTTGCCACAAATACGTGTGGTTAATGCAGACATCATGCCTTGCAAAAGGTATCTTTTGGTGTTTGAATATCTTAACAACTGTTTAACACGTAGGCTTTCGCGACAGGAGGATTTTAACCTGCAAATCTGGCTGCCGCCTGATGATGCCCATTGTAATTACTGGCGAAATGTTGTGCTAAAATTGCTAATGTTGTGGATTTACTCTCCAACACACCGGTGTGCTGTACTAGTAACGAATTGGCATGTTCTGTTTACGTGACAAACCTTACTATATTTCATGCAAGTTTTGTGGGACTATGGGAGGTTTAGGAGGAAAATAAAATGTATGCAGTTGAAATTTAGTTTCTTACAAGCCTGGTGAGAAAAAATTGATTACATCTCGTGAGGAACAAACATATTTGGAACATCACGGAGAGTGAACACTCGATAGGATGGAAGAGAGTTGCACTTTAGTGGGTATGGTCACGTGTGGCAGATGGATGAAAACTCGATTACCCAGGTGGTCCCCTCAATTATGAACGCAGGGAAGAAGAGACAGAGTTAGGAAGGGGTGAAACTGAGGTGCCTTGGAGGCCTTGGGAGAGAGAGAGAGAGAGGACTGCACCTGAGATTTATGAAGACAGAAGTTGGGAAGATAGGAATATTTGTAGTCTACCAACAAAACCATGCGATGCCTAGACATAGAGACTGATGAGTATCATAACGATTGTTGGTGTGAGCATCGATCCATATTCATTATTGTCAACTTAATCGTCGTCCCGCCCCGGCACCGACTGCCACCGCAGGCAAGAATGGTGCAGAGAAACAAAGCGAGGCTTCTGGATGTGACGAGGTGACCTCTTCCAGTCGAGAAATGCCACGAAGCAAGTTTCCCTGCCCACTCGGCCGTGTTATCGTGAAGGCCGCGAGTCAGCGGAGTGGTGTCGTTCCCCACACCCCCAGGTTCGGCGCCTACAGAAAGCCCATCTACGTAAACGTGGTGCGCGACCCCATCGAGCGCCTCGTGTCCTACTACTACTTCCTGCGCTTCGGGGACAACTATCGGCCCAGCCTGCGGAGGCGCAAGCAAGGGGACAAGAAGGTACTCCGGCTTGGGTTCACGCGGCAGTGGAGTGGCCCACGCGCACCTTGGAGGGCGAAGGGGTTGGTCGACCGCGTAGATTTGACGAGTCCCTCAAAAAATGGTGATTGCGGGAGGTGGTCGTACAGAAAAGTGGGTTCATCAACCTGCCTTGATAAACCCAAAGTGGGTTCATTAAAGTGGGGTCATCAAGGCGAGCTGATAAACATTCCACGGTGGCGAGATGTTAACTACCTCGCCTGCTGTACAGGAGGTCGTGGGTTTGATCCCGACCCTTACGGCTGTATATTTGGAGTTTGCATGTTTTTTTTCTCCGGGTCCTCCGGTTTTAGAAACATGCTTTTCGAGTATTTGGCTGCTATAAATTTCCACATGATACGCCACTTCGTTGAGCTATCACTTTTGTGGCCAGATCGCTTCTGAAAAAGAGCTATACAGTTCAGTGGGCCTTACCTGCTAAAATGAAAAAATCGTTTAGTTTATAGTCTGTGCAGACCTGTGAGCATTATCATCTCGTAAATGTGCTTTTTTACAGACGCTCTGGTTTCTTGGCACGATTAAAGCCCTTCTTTTATAGCATTAATATGTTATTAATTACAAGCCTGGGGCTCAGAGAAGGCAAAGGTGTGAAACCTTTCCTGTGGAGAACTTAACGCTTTAATAATGGGGCAACTATAGCAAACTCATCCGCACAGGGTATCCTCATTTCGTTGAGATGGCGATTAAGGGGCCGGCGGAGTGGTGGTGCAATGTTTCGTGCACTTTGCTGTGAACCTGGTTACCCGAGTTCAATTCCTCGCCACGGCTAACGTCACTGGCAAGTGATCTGGCCGAACAAACCCTCGTTGCTGGGACGTAATGGAGATAACTTAATCCAGCAATGGATTAGCGAAGGATTGCAAATTGCTATTTTCCCAATTGGCTGCTTCAATTTGTTGGTTGTTTCTTTAAAATGTAATTTTAGATAGTGCTTTGTTACTTGTGCAATTATGTTTCTTTTATGCATGTATGTTGAACTTCTTTCGCACCGCACGTAGCCAACCATGCTCATCCGAGGTGCGGGGCAAGGACAAACTAAACGAAAAAAGCTATTTTTTTTATTGTCTAGTGTGATTATTGAATTGGCATTGTTATTTTTTATATAGATTTATTTTGCCTGGTATCTGCAATGAATTTTACAAATGTGAATCGTTCCTCTTGTTTTTTAAACTAGGAGCAGGGGGGGGCTTGTTTAAATTGGGCTCTCATACCATTTCATAAACAAGGTCATTGATTGGCATCGAGTGGGTCATCTGATAATCGATCCACCAATTGCTTTCATTCATAAGCGACCGAGAGCCCATTGATACTAATAATCCATCTTTCGATGGAGGTCTCGTGCGTCAAACACAAAAGACGAGAATGTAAAGGTGTATTTCACTTGTGAATTAAAATAAAGTGAGTGCAATAAAACACCCAAGTGAGCATTCGTGAACAATACAATAAAATATATTTCACACACTTTGTTTGGTATCAGCTCAGAGCTGCATTCCGGGTCAATTCCCGTCTTTGTCCAATTTGTAGTCATGCGGCTTTGACAAAATGATACGAGGACATTCCGGATGAAAGCACACAATGTGTTTGTTACTTCTGCAGTTTTTATATTTTGCATCTTGCCAGGGCCCATCAAGGCCAAGGCCAGTTCCATTGTGGTTTCTAGCTTATTTATAGGTCTGAGAAAATGGTTTAATTTAATATTTTATAACCTCTGTGTCTTCAACGGTTTTCAAGACAATGTAGGTTACAGAATATTTACCCCACTACTTAAAAAATCTTGCTGTTAAGAGCTATAGTTCTGAAAGACGGTCCCATAGGAAGACACAATATGATACTAACGTAGTGCTATTGTCATCGGTTGTCAAACTAAATGTAAAATTACTATATCGATTCATTGCATACACAAGAGGGGTGCAAGCTGTCCAGCTAGTCTGAAGCAGTGTTCAGACATACAGCGTTGGCATCTCTCCCGCCTTGTCAAGCCTCTTTCCAGATTGTCTCTGCCAAATTATCCTGTATGAAGGTTTGCACAAATGGGGCTCTATTTTTATTGATGAAGTTGTCCACACCATTGGTACCTCATTTGCCAGTAAAAAAAATATGATAATTGGTTTTTTACCCTTTTATCTGGCAACAAAACTGACACATTTTTTTTACGAGGAGCCCATTGATACAAATAATCCATCTTTCGATGGAGGTCTCGTGCATGTATGAGGTACCAATGGTGTAAATGCTTACCCCGAGCTCTCATACTCTGATGGTGCATTGTCTTTGAGTTGTGCGTCATCTGGTCCAACCGACGTGAGACTAGGCTCTAAGGAAAGCTGTCTCTGGTGTGGACCAATCAACTTCAAGGACAGTGCATACATTATCAGAGTTATGTTTTCTGTTTGCATTATGACTGCAGGTATTGTGGTCTATGCAAACATGACTCCTCGTAAAAAATGTGTCAGTTTTGTTGCCAGATAAATGGGTAAAAAAACAATTATCGAAGTTATCCACAGTTTAGAAAAAGGTCGCCTCCAAAATTAAGTGGCACCTTGCAGTCTTGTCAGATTTCTGAATGCATTCGCAGCGTTCAGAAAGTGTCTACAATGTTTCGTATTATCTCCAGGCCCTGGCGCATTGATGGGACAGTTCAGACGTCAATGCTTATCACACACACACTGTCCAATACATGTTGCGAGCGATTTTCTGAGTCTTATAGAAACCAAAGTGAGTGGATACTGGCATTAAGCAGATTAAACACCGATGTCGGGTGTCAATAGGCTTAACTTGGTGACGTAAGAATGAGACTGTAACTGGGCTGCATTACCAATTGGGGAGAATTGCAAAGGATGACGTTATACTGCTGAGGCATGCAACCCACTTCCGATTGGTCGTTGGGAAGCTTTATTTGACAGCTGCTGTCTAAAAACGGTTGATCCGCGGGTCGAAATTTAACCCACGGGAGTAATGAGACCTCGTGGAAGCTTCTTAATGAAGATTGGGGGACGAAGGGAGAGGAGTGTGACGGTGGTTGTTTGCATGAGGGTGCCAAGCCGCGTGTGATGTCTGTGTACGCGCGTCGTCGTCGTCTTTGCTAACGCGACGTTTTCCCGTGCCGATGTTTTAAACCTCGTTTCTCATCTCGTGGAGTTCATTAAGAACTTTAACGAACGTTGTTGTGTTAAAAAAAAAAGTTGGGGGAAGAGAAAAAAAACTTTCAGATTTATTGCCCAAATTATTAAAGAAAAAGCGATGTAATTCAAAGCAAATGAAAAAGAAAATTAGCTCATGCCACTATTTTGGTACTATTTATGAACCAGGATTTTTCCATGCCCCCCCCCCCCTCCGTGTGGAATATGCAAAAGACTGCAACATGACTCTTCTGAAAGGGCCCCCAGCGTGCAGTGTTTGGTTGGGTCTCATCAGCAACAAAAAATCAATGGCTAAAAACCTAAGACCGGAAAACTAAATTGTGTGGTGCTTTTGTCCTGTTGGTCTTCTCATTTAAATAATGTTGCTAAGCTGCCTCACTATTGTGCTCCTGGGGCCCGGTGCCCAAGGGTGGCTGGCTGCCTTTGCACACGTAATGATGTGTTTACTTGTTTGGTCAACATGTGTCCCATTATTAGCTGGATTAACCTAATGGGTGAAAATGTAATAGCCCTGTGGGAGCACTTACAACGCTTTGTCCCAGTGGACCCCAGTCCTGGCACGTGCGTCACACATCCACGATTCGTCGATTTCAAATGCATAAAATAACACGTTCTCTTGTATAACCTTCCCTCGAAGGGCATTCTCTTGAGAAAGAGAGGGGGTAAAAAACACCCCGATGTTATTTTAAGGGCAGCGGCGCCTTAACGGCACTTGCGTAAAAACGTGTGCCCCCTTTTTCAGACCGAATTGAAAGCAGTGCCAGATTTTTCTTAGTTGACTTTACATTTCTCACGCTGCGGACATCCAGCCCCAGGTGACACGGTGACCCAAATTTGAGCATTCATCTCGACGAGCTCGTCATCAGCGACGAGCGAGCCTGTGGGGAGCGCGCTTCGCTTGGAGGGTAGCGGCGGTGGTGTGGGGAGGAGATGGGAGAGGTGCTGCGGGTGTGGGAGCGTCACATCTGCTGTCCCACGGACGCGACGCGTCTCTCGCGGTGCTTGTTCCTGGCTCGCGATATCAGATTTTTTATTCATCGTCTTTTTTACAGATGTCCAGTCGGGGCGGGTCATAAGTTCGCACTCATTACACACAAAGTTCTTGCCACAAATGATCTCGTCAAGGAGCATAAATCATCGCGCAAAGTCCCAGTCGTCCTCAAAGCGTCTTTTGGCTAGCCATTGAACAAAGACGGTCCCTGCATCACCCACTTTCATATGTGACTTCTGCGGCCGTCTGGAATGTTCTTCCTTCCGATATTAGGAATCCACTGGATCTATGAACTTTTAACTCTAAATTGAAAACAAATTTCTTCAGAAATGCTTTGTGTTTAGTTTGTTGTCCTTCCCCCGCACCTCCGGTTAACACGGTTGGCTACGTACACTGCAAAATAAGTGCAGCATACATACAGAAAGTTACAACAACAAACAATATCTCGCGGTCGGTGTTTCGTGCCCGCTCCCACAGACGTTCGACGAGTGCGTGCAAGAGAAGGGCGTCGACTGCGCCCCCGAGAAGCTCTGGCTGCAGATCCCATTCTTCTGTGGCCACAGCGCCGAGTGCTGGTGCGTCCCACTTCACAAACAATGTATTCATACTCGCACCCTTGCACGCTCACTGGTACCTCAACTGTCACGAATTTGAGCTCGGTTGTGCGTATAACGCAGGCGCGCACTGTTGCGTTGGGAAAAATGTTACCTTCTTAAAGTCAATAGAGCAGCAACATCTCATTATCGGGAATGGCGCTGGAAGATGAAGTTGTAAAACTACTTTTGAGGTCATGTCAATAGGTCATTCTCAACCCAACACTAGATGGCACTCCTTAGTGATCCGTGTACAGGGCTTCATCGCTTATCCGTTATCTGGTGTATTGATACATTCTAGCCATAAGAGTTTGGTGATCCAAATTTTATTAAAAAGCCGATTGCGAACACATATTTGGCCATTTATTTGTACCTGGGCTGAAGCTATCCAACTCGCTTAAATTTCAATGTCGGGAATTCAAACCCATAGTGTCATCGGTGCCCGTGTCGTTGATTTAACACCAAGCCACTCCGCCTTTCGCACCTAATACGAGTCACCCAAATAGGCAATTGGGGTCGTTGCCAAAGTACATAGTGCAGAACCCCCCCCCCCCCCCCCATTGTGCTTTCCTGAGCTGAATCCAGTCTCCCGTCTCTTGTCTAGAAATGATATCTATTATAAAAGTCTGGTGTTGCGGTTTGTCCGTTTGTCCGTCAACTAAATTATGAGAGCCTTTCAGAAGGCCTAAATCAAAAAGTTATATAAAGTTGATCTCCCCCCCCCCCATTCCCCCAGATGTGGGGGTAAAACATTGATCCAACAGGTTTACAACAATAGTCGACCGCCACCCATCCCCCACCCATGTTTTTAATGTATTTTGTAGGCATATGCCTACATACCCTATATGCAATAGAGCCAGTAGTATCTGCACACATTTGGGGGGGGGGGGGGGGAGAAGAGGACATCAGTGGGGGCGAAAGCACCAAGAAGCCTTCTGCAGGAGCTCGACTAAGGTGGCCCGTAAGGCCGCCGAAATTCCAGTCAATAAAAAATCCCATCTCGCTACCGGAGAGCAGTGGACACTGAGCCAAGGAAATGACCACTGGATTCTTCAGATGCCCCCATAAAACCTTATACAGTCTGCAAGTCTCCCTCTATCAATGATTCAGCATGAACATCAATTATACATCCTCTTGGAATGCTGAGTTATGGGCATACGTTACGCTGGGTGTTCACTGACAAGGTTCAGCTTGACTTTTCGAACAATGGATGAGAGTATTCGTGCACAGTTTGTGGATGCTTTTGCAGGGCACTAATTAAAATTTCTGGCATTTCACACCATCGACTGGAAAACTACTTGACATGCTGCACCCGCGAGCCTCACCAGGACAAGCGGATTGAGAAACGAACCAAGGGACAATGATTATAATTGCATGTTAAATTAAAATTTCCAAATATGTTTTTTACCTAAACTAAAATACAAATCAAATATTAAATAACATGTAAAAATACAGATAATTAATACACGTAACAAATACAATTTTCTGACCTTTCACACCATCGGTTGTAAATAGAAATGATCCCTCAAGTGGACTCAACCTTATATGCCCGCCTACCTGTTATCATGCGAACGAGTGCGCGTCAACGGTAGCGACGCGTGCCCTCGCACGTCAAGTAAATTTTTATTTTCGCTTAAAAGCGTGGCGCCTTTTCTACACAAATCTGTCACTCACAGCGCCATCGCATTAAATACCGTACTCGTAAACACAGAAATAAAAAAAATGTATACGGTGACAAAAAAATGTTATGCGATCGTCCCGGCCACTGACGCATCCTCGCCGACCAACCGCACTCCTCCAGTCAGCGCGGTTGGCTACGTACGGCGCTAAGGAAGTTCAACAAGCTTACATACACGCAACACGCGCGTGTCTGGGATGCGCAGGACGGTGGGCAGCCGCTGGGCTCTGGAGCAGGCGAAGCTGAACCTGGTTAACGAGTACCTCCTGGTGGGGGTCACCGAGGAACTGGAGGACTTCATCCTCATCCTGGAGGCCGTGCTGCCGCGCTTCTTCAAGGGAGCCACGGAGCTTTTTAAGAAAGGTACTGCGCCCCTCCCCCCCTGCCCGCCCGCTCTTTTATTTCCCGTGAATCGCTTTTTTTTTCCTTAACTATTTATTGACGCGCGCATAAACAGCGCAACCGGAGGGCAGTTAAGATGTCGCCACGGTGGCGAGATGTTGACTACCTCGCCTGGTATGCAGGAGGTCGTGGGTTCGATCCCAACCCTGACGCCTGCTGCTGTGTATTTGGAGTTTGCGTGTCTCTCTCCCCGTGGTCGCGTGGATTTTTCTCCAGGTCCTCAGTTTTTTCCCTCCACATTTACAAACATGCGTTTAGAGTGTTGTTGGCTGCTATCAATTTCCACGTGATAAGCCACGTCTTTGAACTATCATTTTTGAAGAGCTCTATACAGCTCGGTGGCTCTTACATGGTCAAATAAATGATAGTTTAGTTCTAAATTTGCCATAGCGTTATGGTTTTTAGTTTGTCGCCGAAGGATGATAGTCCAACTGATATCCCCTCCCCCTCCAACCCCCACTGCGCTGCACCAGGAACAAAGTCGCATCTGCGCAAGACGGCGGAAAAGAAGGCGCCGTCGGCAGACGCAGTGCACACGCTGCAGCAGTCGGAGGTGTGGAAGCTGGAGCACGAGTTTTACGAGTTTGCGCTGGAGCAGTTCAGCTTCATCCGTGCGCACACTGTGCGGGAGAAGGACGGGGAGCTCTATCCCCTCGCCCAGAACTACTTTTACGAGAAGATTTACCCCAAGCAGAGCTAGCCGCGCCCGCGAGGGTCGCGGAGGGCCAGCCCCGTGCCGTCCCCCGTGCGTGGCCGCAACGGGAAATGTTCGGCTCGGCACCGTGCGTCTCCGAGAGAAGACGCAACGGAGCCCTGTTCTCTCTGGTTAAAGCGTCCCGCACAGGAAGGGAGGAGGAGGAAGAAGGGGGGGGGGGGGTGATTTTGGCGAGCGACTGGAAGATGGAAGACTTAGTCACAGCATCGTTTCTGGATAATTGTTTTAAAATGTGAGAGCTTTGGTTTCTTTCATTTTTTTTGGTCACCTGCTTTTGAGTTGTGTGGGGGTTATTTCTTTTGTTGTCTCTACCAGTAGCCAACTCGGCTGCCCGCTACCCAACCACTACAATCGAAGGCTCCTAAAAGGCGACATTTCGTCGCCCTTGTGAGGAAAATCCACTCAAGGATTGTAAAGTTTTCCAGGGACGTGCGTGCAAATGTCAAGATCAATGGTAAAGAAAAGAGAGCATTGGGGGCAGTCGGGGCCTGCGCTCTGCTCCGCACGCAACAGACGGCAGAACGGTGGAGGGGAAAAAAACTGTTCTTTGAATAATGGACGCGCACGCAGCAGCAGCAGCAGCAAAGGGTTGTTTTGTTTTTTGTTTTCTGTCCGGGACCACTCGTGCATAATAACTCTTAGACGACGCATTATTATTGTTTTGGAAATAAATGTCTCAACGTTGGATACATGACGACAGTTTGAATTATGTTTATGTGCGTGTGTGTGCTGTGATAATTTAATGTTTTTTTTTTTATCAGGGAGACGCTCGCGCACACACGCAAAATATATTCTCAGCTGGCGTGGTGTACATTTCCTTAATGAAAAATCTAGCGAGTATGGTAATACTCTTATGAAAAGAGCATATAAATCATACCATTAATATTAATTCACTGGATAAAACACTGTTTTGAAAATGAGAGTGTTTTAAATGGTGTGTGGTGTATGTTTTGTATCTATGAATCTCACGGTCTGAAATAGAGTAACAAAGCTTTTTCTTTTTTTGTGTGTTTTTTTGCAAAACACCTGACCCACAACATTCTCTACGGGTCGGCTTTGTTGTGGGTGAAGAAATGTGAAGGTCATCGAGAATAAAAACGGAATTTAGCGATCGTCATTTTTCATCCAAAGTTATTACATCGTACTGCACTGTCTGCAGATTTGAGCATAAGAATAATTGCCTTTTTGAAACATTCGTGAATTTATAACAAACAAAAAAACCCCATCGTAATTTTGTATTAAATGTCAACAAAACGAGGAGTATATATATAATGTAGCTGTTGCAAAACTATTGGGTGAGCCTTTTTTTGTTTTACTATTTGCGAGATTAAAAGAAATGTGACTTTGTTTTGTGTTCCTGCTTTTTGTCCCAGAAGCCGACGGGGGCGCGTTTGAATTTTGTTTTCATTCAAATTGGTTTCAATGCCTAAATGGGGCAACACTGGTTTCTTCCTTTCAATTCTACTGCGCTTTCGTTTCTTATTTGCTGTAATGTACCCTAGTTGTTATTGTCAAATAGTTTCTGCTCCGTGTGATATATGCTTTTCAGTCTTGCGTGTTTTTAAGTTAGGTCCGAGGTACAGTGTGTGTGTGTGTCTTGCATTGCTGGTTCATGGATGCTACCAATAGTTTGCACATCTTAACGGTGTCCTTACCTGCAGATGCCGCTGGAATAACATAATGGTCGAGAACTGGACTGTTAACCTTTACGCGGTCGATTTGGCAAGTACATTTGCCGTGCCACACAGACACGAGCAGAGACCGGTGCACAGCCCAATCTCGCTGTGCCAGTGCACAATTCCTGGCGTTTGATCGATCCTATGCCTCGTCAACGCAGAAGAGTGGCTGAAATCGGGTGGTCGCTAACTGCCATCGATTTGTTGGCCCATATACAAAGTTAAATTTAAAAAATGTCTTAAAAAAAGAGAGTTGTTTTTATTTTGATGTCAAAAGATCTGATATTTTCTACGATTCAGGTAAGCTTCATTTTGCTGTAATTTAATTTGTCCGTGTTATATAAGCGTGAATCGATGGCCAGCAAAACCCCACGTGAATTACAATAACTACGACGTATAAAACATTAATTTAATCTAAGACTTTAATGATGGGCCCGCAATGTTGAAAACAGTTTTATCTTTGTGTCAACGTTCATTTGATTCTGTTTGTATTTTTGCAAATTTTCAAGCAAATGTTCAATCGTATTTTACACAATAATAGTAACATCAGCCATTTGTCAATCTCCTGCTGGATGAAGGCCGCCGCATGCCAATCGGTTCATACGACCTGCTAGAGCAGGCATCAGAACTAAGAAAATATTACGGACTGAAAATCATTAAGAGATATTGGGCATTGCACCAAGAGACAGAAAAGCAGATAGATCAGATAACGAGAGCAAATTTGGGAGATGTCATTTTAACTTAAGCGAAGATACGTGGGCTCTGGAAATACGCCACGAGAATGGATGATGGCCCAACGAGACTAGTGATGGAATGACAGCCAAGGGAGAGAGAGGGAAAAAAAAACACTGAACAGGTTGATCACTGGGGAGATGGGAGTGAGTCGATGAGCTCTTGTGCGGGAGCAAGACGGATTGTGGCGTCACAGGACTGGAGGGATGGCATAGGTTGTGGGGGGAAGCCTTCATCCATCAGTGGGTATGCAATGTCTGATGATGAGTAACATCATAAACAAAAACGTGCGCGTCATTAAAAGTTGCTTCGTCGTGGTGGGTTTCCATTGTGATTGAATTAAAATCTTTTTTTAATTAATCTTGAAACACGCTGTTTAACAATAACAAAATAATAACAATACAGTTATTGGATGTTTACCGTTGTTGGTTTGGTGTAAAATCACATGAAATGTTCTATTTTTCATGTTTTGTATATAAAATAAAGAAGTGTGGTGATATTTTACCGTCGTTGGCGCCTGTTCCGTCCAACAAGGCGTCGCACGTTCGGCGCCTTCTCCCCACCGCGAGCTCCTCCGTAAGCTCCTCGGTGAGCTCCTCCGTGGTGCTCCTCCGTGAAGCTCCTCGGTGAGCTCAGTGAGCTCCTCCGTGGAGCTCCTCAGTGAGCTCCTCAGTGGAGCTCCTCGGTGAGTTCCTCAGTGAGCTCCTCGGTGAACTCAGTGAGCTCCTCAGTGAGCTCCTCCGTGGAGCTCCTCCGTAAGCTCCTCGGTGAGTTCTTCAGTGAGCTCAGTGAGCTCCTCCGTAAGCTCCTCCGTAAGCTCCTCGGTAAGCTCATTGAGCTCCTCCGTGGAGCTCCTCCGTGGATCTCCTCAGTGAGCTCCTCCGTGGAGCTCCTCCGTAAGCTCCTCAGTGAGCTCCTCGGTGAGCTCCTCAGTGTGCTCCTCCGTGGAGCTCCTCCGTGGAGCTCCTCAGTGAGCTCCTCCGTGGAGCTCCTCCGTGGAGCTCCTCCGTAAGCTCCTCAGTGAGCTCCTCGGTGAGCTCCTCAGTGTGCTCCTCAGTGGAGCTCCTCCGTGGAGCTCCTCGGTGAGTTCCTCAGTGAGCTCCTCCGTGGAGCTCCTCGGTGAACTCCGTGAGCTCCTCAGTGAGATCCTCCGTGGAGCTCCTCCGTAAGCTCCTCAGTGAGCTCCTCCGTGGAGCTCCTCGGTGAGCTCTTCCGTGAGCTCCTCCGTGAGCTCCTGAGGGAGTGACACATGCCAGGAACCCCTTTACACACGGCTCCGTTTCTCACTGAATCTTTTCCAGCTCGCTGGTCTACCGAAGTTGGTGGCACGTGGCGAGTATCTCTACAGCCACAGCGAGGGGTATACATGATCATTCATAATGATTGCAGTTGTATAGACTGTAGCGTCATCTCGCAACGCTGTTGCAATATCTTCGGTTCTTTCGGTAAAGTCACGTAGAATAGAAATAATAAAATAATTAAAATAAAACATTTTTATTTTATTATGTTTTATTTTCATTATTTTATTATTTCCATTCTACGTGACTTTACCGAAAGAACCAATAAGATGAATCCCTGCAGTCACGAAAGCTTTAAATCGAAAAATAATTAAACAGTTCAACGTACATATGCATAAACACATGAAGGGCTAAATCCTATCCATAGCCAATATTAAGTAAATGTAACCCTCCAAAAAGGAAAACATGAATGAACATATCAAGAAATGGCATGCAAACAAAAGGTACAAACAACAACAAAAAATTATCAAAACAGGGGTAAAGAATATTATCTATGTATGTTGACTTTGTTTCGCACTACGCAGCCAACCGTGCTAATGTTGAGGTGCGGGGGAAGGACAACAAACTAAACACAAAAAGCAGCTCTAAACATCTTCTTGGTTCTTTCGGTAAAGTCACGTAGAAGGGAAATAATAAAATAATGATAATTAAACATAATAAAATACAATTCTCACATGTTTTCTTTTTATTATTTTATTATTTCCTTTCTACGTGATTTTACCGAAAGAACCAAGAAGATGAATCCCTGCAGTCACGAAAGCTTTAAATCGAAATTCAGCTCTAAACAAATGAGTTGTCAATCGAGCTGTAGAAGCGCATAGCTCCAGTGGCTTGCTCATATCGAAAGGCAAGAGCGTTCCAGGCGGCCGCAGATGCGCATCTGTATGGAACTGTGCAAAGGTTTAGCTCCTCACACCAGCAAGAGCAATTAGTCCACCAAGTGACATCCCAAGATGTGATGCGTTGGATGCCGAAATATTTGCAGGAGAGCTAACCCAGGTAACAATCAAAACCCACCGCGCTGCTTATACGGCTACGAGGCGTTATGGTGGTGACGAGTACCCGATTTTGCCGGCTGTGTCCGACTCCCAGTGAATGGCAGTCTCCTTCTAGATTTGAAACTTTCGTGACTGCAAGGATTCATACTCTTAGGCTTTTTCAGTAAAGTCACGTAAGTAAAAAATAATAAAATTAAAAGAAGTTAAATTCTGAAACGTGATTTATTATTTTATTTCTATTATTACTTCTATTATTTTTATTATTTTTTACCTACGTGACTTTACCGAAAAAGCCTAAGAGTATATAATGCCAGTCGCCTCCACGCCCGTCATGATAATAGCGCTGAGTTGGGAGCCGACTCCTCGCCTCTCGACTCGTTCGTCCCTGCGAGGTTGATGGTCCCTTGTGGCACCGGTATTAGAATAATAACACTACTCATCATGCACTCTGATGAGATGCAGTAGTAATGCAGTGCAAATGAGTCGGTGCTGATTAGGTGCTATTAATCCCCAATCCTGTTACCAATTGTGCAAATACGTAGATAAGAGTGTGTGGTTAACTCGATTCCTAAAGCAGATCCTTGATGGGTTGTGCTAATCTTGGCGTGCCAGTTAACTCTCTGCTCTACACCTTCGTCCTAACCCAGTGGGTTAAACGAATTCTTCAGTCAATTCTCACCCAGCAGAACCCCGAGTAGAATCTAGCTGTAGAATATACTTTGAAAGCAGAAGGGCATCTTGCTTGACCGTGCTGTAAAAGGAAGCCACCGGCGCAGCGCGATCACCTATCGCTGAGAAATCGAGAGAGGGTCTTCTTGGTTCTTTCGGTAAAGTCACGTAGAAGGGAAATAATAAAATAATAAAAATAAAACAATAAAATAATTCTCACGACGTTTCGGTCACAACGCAAGTAGCCGTCCTCAGGTGAAGACCAGGTCTGTCGAGGAGACAGCGTCTGAAAGAAGATGAATCCCTGCAGTCACGAAAGTTTTAAATTCGAAATATAAATCGAGAGGGTTTTGGGCATCGCTGCGCCCTTTCCATCGAGTCGCTGGAAGCACGAGCAAGCGGATTGTCCTCGTGCGGTGCTACAGCCCGGCACGTGGCACGCCGTAGTCGGCATCGGTGCAACGCAGTGACGGCTTTTTGCACTGTGAACACATTCCTGCTGCGGAGGGAGCTGGTAGGAACGTTGGGTTGCTCGGTCAATGGCCAGGGTCAACGGCGGCGTGGTGTATTCCGCAAATATGCCCGATTGTGAGTGCGGGCACAAGCCGGCGTGAGTAGGTTAAACGTTGAGTTTATAAGGGCACCACGGGGTGACCAGCCCCTCCCCACCCAGCCCCACCCAGCCCCGCCCTCCTCACCTTCCCCACCCAGCCCCTTTCCACCCTCCCCTACCCAGCCCCTCCCTCCCCACCCAGCCCCTCCCTGCACGACGGACGGACGCAATAATCCCCTGTGGGCTGGTGTAACCAGGAGGTTACTACCAGTAATATTTTTTTCTTGTTCCGATTCAAACAGAGCTCGCTCGGTGGTGACTGTCAATTCAAACGTCATGCTCGCGACACGCGCATCGGGTGCGATAATCCCTGATGTTCGGTTCGTGTACGTGCGCTCAACGATGGGGTTCGCATGGCCCCTGTAGTTGCTAATGGAGTCCGCTACCTTTTCCGCAATGTTGACAATATAACCAATTTCTTAGTCGAATCGTGGCCTTGCATCGGAATTACGGTAAATCGACAGGGGGGGTGGGTGGGCTGATGGGAATCTTGACACCACCTGAAGCTAGGTTTGTCTGCGCGACGGTCAGCAGGTGAACGCGTGGTCCAAGTGACCTTCGTGCTGGTACATGAACCACTGACTACGTACGGTGCAAAAGAAGTTCACAACATGCATAGACCCGCCAGGAGCGAGCATTGGGCTCAAATGAGACAATGGGAAGCCAAGGTGAATGCAACGAAGGATACAACATCAGCAGGCTGTTAAAGACAAATAAGTACCCACGTTGCTCTCTTAAAAGTGTTCTTCACTCATTTTCAGAGGGGGGCCCACTTTCGCCGTTAAGACATCATCGGTGTGAGGGCCGCCACATTTGAAATCATTGGGGTTTGACAGCAGCAGGATGATGATGATGGGGGTGGGTGGGGGGTGTTTCCACGTGTCGTGTGTTGTTGTATGCGGCACGTCAGGGGCCACAGTCGCCCGCGGGCCTTGCAATGAAGAGCACTGCCTTAAAATATCCATAATAGAGGTTTTTTTGGGGTTCGATTGCGTAACTATAAATGTGTCATTAAACCCGCCACTACCTGACACAGCCAATTAGTGAGGTTTGTCACGTAAACAAAACATGCCAATTCGTTACTTGGTACAGCACACCGGTGTGTTGGAGAGTAAACCCACAACATTTACAATTCGAGTACGACGTTTCGCCCGTAATTACAACCAGCCTCATCAGGCGGCAGCCTGGGCCGGGTGGTGGCGGGTTTAACGACACATTTATATTTACGCCATCTACCCCAAAACCAACATCTTATGGATAATATTTATCGCGAAAGCTTCCTTGTTAAACCAACTTAAAAGATGTATGCTGCAGGCCTTTGATTGAATAAAGAACATCACTACAATGCACCAATGATGTATCTGCGCTTGTAAAAGGTGCTAAATGTTGGTCGTTTTTTTGTAATTCAATCACTGACAACAGCGGTCACGGTGACGGCCCTCACATCTCGTTAAATATGTCCCCATGAGATTAAACTCATTTGTGCCCCATGCGCTTTTCAGAAGATGTCAGAACATGTTCTGCATTTCATTCTGTATCTGTACAGCTCAGGGGTAAATCTGTGTGTGTACCCATCTCCTCGCCTTGTCTGCCTGCATCTCTTTGTCCCCCGTGTCCACGTTTCTAATTATCCGTCCAGTCTCTTTCCATCTCTTGAGTCCATCTCTGTCTTTTCATTTGTCTCTCGTCACCCCCTGCTCACTTTGTATTTTCATCCCTCTTCTATTTGTTTCCGTCTCCCTTACCTCGCTACTTATCCCCCCCCCCCCCCCCCCCCCCAGTCTGTCTCTTTGGGTTTAAATCGCTCCCCAAAGCTAATGTATGTGACTGACCTAGGACTGAGCCGCGTTGTTGCGCCAGCCCTGATGCACACGACTCGAGGTAACAACATTGATAAGGGTCTCTCTCCTCGACTCCCAGGGTT